TATTTAGATTATTTTCTATTTTTGGCTATTTTACAGTAAAAAGAAATTAAAAATAATTATTATCATTATTTTCTTATTTGAAACAACTTTCTTGTTATAAAATAAAGAATGATTTTTTTTTTTCATAAAAGATATTGAAAAAGCTCCCCTGTATCGTTAGATGCTCTAAATCATTAACATAATTTAAAACATTCCATTAAACAATTATAAAGAACATGGTGGCCTCGAAATCAACAAGAATCACGCTGCAAATCAAACACCATGAGCCTGGTTTTAAACTTTAAACGTAGACTTGGACTTGACATTTATATCCCATCCCATCCCATCCCATCCATCCATTCATCGCCATAGCCTTTAGCAACTGTAAACAAAGCTTAGCCTCTCTCTCTCTCTCTCTCTCTCTCTCTCTCTCTCTCTCATCTCGCTTTTACAATTAATGCAACTGTCCATCAACCAGCAATGCTTTCCCCTCTTCTACTTCAATTTTCAACACCCAGATCGTAATCGTTCACAAAGGTACCTCTTTCCTCCCTAAATTTCATCTTTTTTCTTACCTGTTTTTCGTAGTTTAAGTTGATTTGAAATCCCCTTTTCCTTTTTGTGAAAAGCGTCTTCTAATTTCGCTGAATTTGTATAATTTCTTTAGTTTAATCGGTGTATATGACCTGGGTTTCTTAATTTCCGCTTTAATTGTAGTGGGTTTTCGATCAAATTTGAATTTGAGCTTCTTTCTGTGTGTTAGAAGGTGTACAGAAATGGGAAAGTCGATAGCTTCTTTTACTTGAAGTGATTCATGCTTTAATTTATGCCCGATTTGGTGCTAACTTTTGTATGTTCAATGGAAAGATCTGTCGATTGTTTGAGTTTATTCTCTCTTTATTTTTTTTCCTAAAGCGTTGCACTCAAAAAACTTGATTTTGTATGGTGGAAATACATTTTAAAGAGGGGAGAAACGTGACAAGATTGAATTTTGGCATTCTTCTTGGATTTTATATCATATTGAAACTTTTAGGCTCCAAAAAATTGAGCATTGTTGCTGATACCCTTTTTTATTTGTGCTTTTTCAAGATTATTCTTGAGGGGATATAAAAATAAAATGTGCTATAATCAACAGAAAGAATCTTGGTTTTTCGTTATCTCTTTCTATTTGCATTACTATTATATAGTAATTCTTTCACTTGTCATAATATGTTTGAACTAAACACAGTTATTGGATAAGTTTTGTTCTTTTCTTTTTTATATTAAATAAGATACCAAGAATACAACTTTGCTTACCTATGCGTTGGTCAATTGACTATTTTCCATGATTCTTGATCATATTCCCTTTATTTCCTTGCTTTTCTTGTCATCTTCACATGACAACATTTATACCCATAAAAATTTCCCAGTTGTTATATTATAATAAGATTCTTTTCAATCGTCACATGATCTATGCATTATCTAAATCTTGTTCACATGCAATTATTCATTATATATATGTATATTTTGTTATAAAGTAGTCATTTGTATCTTTGACTTGGGGTTCAAACTGATTCCGATACCATTTTCTTGATTGTCTTTTCAGAAGTTTGTGACTTTTGACCAAGTTTTCCGAATCTTTATCTAAATTCACAACAAGATTTTCCTTCTTTTGTTGACTGGATTTTGAGAGATTGAAAATGGGGTGTTGTGCCTCAACGGGTAGTAGGGGTAGTGGTGGAAAAAAGAGAACAAGAAGAACATTTTCCGATCATGTGAGTGCCTTTCACCACACTTCTTCTGTACCCAATAGGATTTTTGCAAATGGGAAGAGCCGAAGTTCTTGCATTTTTACTCAACAAGGTCGTAAGGGAATAAACCAAGATGCAATGATCGTGTGGGAGGTAAATTTATCTTTTTTGATTGTTCTGTTATTCTTCCAGTAACCCTTGAGCTGACACACTCTATCCCAAAAACATCATGTTAGATATAAATCAATAAGGTACACTGTGGCCCACTAGATGACTAACTGACATAATATGTCAATTAATAAGGTACACTGTGGCCCACTAGATGACTGACGTAATATGTTAGATAGCTCAATCCATATTGGAATTGAAACTCTCAAACTGTGTTTATAGCTGCTGAGACTCGAACCCTGTAAGGCTTGTTGATTATATTTTATGGTTTGGAATCTTTTTGTAGGATTTTATGGCAGAGGATGTGACATTTTGTGGGGTATTTGATGGGCATGGGCCCCACGGACATCTTGTTGCGCGTAAAGTTCGTGATACGTTACCCGTAAAGTTGTTTTCATTTCTTGATTCTTATGAATCAAAGAAAAAAGGGTCTACTACTTCTATTTGTTGCAATGGGGACAATCATGGATTAGAGGGGGATGATTGTGAGGAGGAAAAACCGGAGTTATTATGGAGAGAAGCTTTTTTAAAATCTTATAAAGCAATGGATAAAGAGTTAAAGTCTCATCCCAATTTAGATTGTTTTTGTAGTGGAAGCACTGCTGTGACAATCGTTAAACAGGTATCGTTTTTTTTTTTCTACAAAATTAATGTTTATTTATTTATTTATTTAATGGATAGATCTTAATAGAGTTTTTTGAACATTTTGAATTTAAGGGATCGAATCTTTTTATGGGAAGCATTGGAGATTCACGTGCCATCATGGCATCTAAAGATACCAACAATTCACTCGTAGCAATTCAGTTGACCATTGACCTAAAGCCCGATCTTCCAAGTATGACAAAAAAACAAAACAAATCTTTTTAAATCTTTATTTAGTCAATTTTTTTTTACTATACTAACTTGATTTTCATGTTATAGGAGAGGCCGAAAGGATTAAAAAATGTAAAGGGAGAGTTTTTGCATTACAAGATGAACCGGAGGTCCCGAGAGTTTGGTTACCATTTGATGATGCACCGGGGCTAGCAATGGCACGAGCTTTTGGAGATTTTTGTTTGAAGGAATATGGAGTCATATCAATTCCTGAAGTCTCTCATAGGATTCTTACAGAAAGTGATAAGTTCATTGTTCTTGCTTCCGATGGGGTACATAAAACATTTTTTTTTAATCGAATTGATTGCTTCCTTTTTTTTCTCTTGAACATAAACAACTTTTGTCTTGTACTGCATTTGACGTGCATTAGACTAGGACTGTGACTCATGTCAATAGAATAAATATCACATTTTTTGTCCTACACACAAAAAGGTGAAACAATGTGGGACAAAGACCGGTCTTGATATCTTGTCTGGGTAAAAAGACGTCAATGCCCTTCTCATTCGCATCATTAAAAATAACCCTAGAAAATTTGTCAGGTAATTCTTGTACGATGTGACAAACGCAGCCTTGCTGCGTTTGTTACGTTATACAGGATGGATTCGACAGACTTTCTAAGGCTATTTTCGATGAGGCGAATGCGGAGGGCATTCACGTCTTTTTACACAGACAAGCTATCAAGATGGAGTCTTTATTCCGCATTGTTTCACCTTTTTGTGTAGGACAAAAATTGTGATATTTATTCTATTGATATGAGTCAGAGTCTGATTCAATACATGTCAAAATGCAATACAAGTTTTTTTTTACCCTTTTGATGATTGAACTCGTGCTATGTTGCTGACGTTACGTGTATTGTAGATTTGGGATGTTTTGAGCAACGAACAAGTGATTGAAATCGTATCCTCATCTCCAACTCGGTCAACAGCTGCCCGGATGCTGGTTGACTCAGCTGCCCGTGAATGGAAATCCAAATACCCGACATCCAAAATGGATGATTGTGCGGTTGTATGTTTGTTCTTAGATGGAAAAATGGATTCAGAATCCGATAATGAAGAACACGGTTTCTCTTCCGCTACCCTCCAAAGTATTGCTGGTGAATCAGACGATGGTCAGAATCCTGAACCCGTTTTGCAAAGAAATTTCACAGTGAGATCAGCGGAAGAGAGTAGAAAAGACCAAAACGACGTAGTTTTGGAAGGGAATGGGGAAAATGAAACGGGTGTGGTTGAAGATCAGAACTGGTCGGGTTTGGAAGGGGTCACGCGAGTCAACTCGCTTGTTCAACTTCCGAGATTTTCAGAAGAGCAACCAAGGACTTAAAAAAAAATATTTCTTTCTTAATGTTAGTTATTATCATTTGATTTTGTGTTTTTCGGGAAGTTGGAAAATGTATAATATTTTCGCTAGGGTTGTTGGCATTGCGTGGGATGTGGATTATTTTATCATATAAAAGAGTTTTCAAATTCGTGGTTTTGCTAATTGCTCATGTTTTAATACAGTTAATTATTTTTAAAAAATCATAACAAATTATGTCAAAATTTTCTATAAAGGTAAATCAGTACTGTAGTTTAAATTTATAACAAGCTATTTACATTTTCTTTCCGTTTATAGCAATGAATTTTAAAATTTTACTTTTAATAACAATATACTTTCATTAGATTTCTAATAAGCTTTTCAAAATGGTTTAACTCTTGTATAAGTCCAAAATAGTCTATTTGGGCCATTAATCCCTATTATAAAGGTCCGACAATTTCGGGTCTTTCTTGCAGGCGTCTTCTTTATTCTCTGGCAGGGTCAAACATCGGGGTCTTTTTCTCTTGTGATTATTTTTGGCGACATTGATGGTTGGGAATGGGTCTGTGAGTCGGTCTCCTGCAATTGATTGAAAAGGTTTCTTCCCCGTTTTATGTGACAAATTTTTCTGTTGATTTCGGAGTGAAGGAATTATGGGATGCATGTGCGAATGTGGGGACTCTGGCTGATGTTTACATTGCAAAGAAGCTATCCAAATTAGGTAAACGTTTTGCCTTTGTTTTTTACATTAAAGTGTTAGATGAGTAATTGTTGGAAAGTTGGATTAGAGATATTTGGTTGGGTTCATACCATTTGTTTGCTTCAGTAGCATGTTTTCAGCGAGAATCTTATCGTAAAGGGTAGTCTAATTCACATGTGCATGGTGATCAGGTGGTGTAGAAACTTAATGAGCAGGGCCTCGGATCCTATGCGACTGTGGTTAAGGGGGCTAAGGGCATGCATGGGCTGAAAGGGCCTAAACCTAATGTTTGTACTTTGTCTGGGAAAGAGATATGCAATTATCTATCCTTAAAGGCTTCGGTGTTTGCGAAACTCAGGGATATTAGGTTGATTCAAATTTTGTTTGTGTTATTGAAAGAAGAAGGTTTTGATGATCTTAAAATCAAGTATGTTGCTAGTGATTGGGTATATTTGACTTTTTTGTCTGAAGAGGTTTGCGCCAGGTTCAAGAAATGTAATGCTATTAAGGCCTATTTCTCTTTGTTTAGGCCGGTTGTAAATGAGTTTTTTTGTTAAGGAAAGAGTTGTGTGGATTGAGATGATTAGGTTGCCTTGTTGTGCACGAAATGAAGATGTTGTTTCTAAGGTGGCTAGCATGTGGGGGTGATGTATGTTTTCTAGATGATGATGGGGATGCTCCTTTGGCAATCAAGAGGGTGTGTATTAGGACTTCTAAGTCGACTTCGATCCATGAGGCAGTCAAAGTGGTTGCCTAAGGTATTGAGTATGATGTGGTAGTTCGGGAAGTTTCTAATTGGGATCCGGATATATTGGAAGAGTGGGAGGTGGTTTCGGATATTCTAGACTTGTCTGATGAAGAGGAAGCCACTGATTTTTTTTTATGAAGATGTGTATGATCTACAAAAGGATTGTCGGGAGGGTAAGGATGATGAGGAGGTAGCAGATTTTTTAATATAGATAGCACTACAAATTTAGTTGATAGAGGATCCGGTTTTGTAGATAGAAAAGGTCGTTTTTTTCAAACTAGTGAGAGGAAGAAGAAGGTGGATAGATGCTTTGAAGATGATGAACGGGTCGCATCGATCCTGGTTGATGCATCGGTGAAGTCGTCAACTAGGCCTGAGAGGGTTTCTTCGCCGGTTGAGGAGGCAGTTCAACAGGGTGGGGTAGTGGGGGTGGGGCTTCAGAATCTTTATCTCAACCTCCAGGGCTCCAGCGTGAGAAGCTACATGGGGATTTTAATCTTAATGCCTCGGCTTCGAGATCCTCTGGTTCACATGTTTCTTCTACGTTGTTAAAGAAGAGAGTTCTGATGGGTGTAGAAGATTTTGAGGATGTCTTGAAACAATACTTTGAAATGGATGATCTTCTTGGGTATGACATGAAATCTCATAAGGATAAGGTTTCTAAAATCTTGTCTAGCGTTGGTGTGGTAGAAGTGGATAGATGAATTATCTATCTTTGAATATTTGTGGTGCCCGAACTTCTCTAAAAAGAAGTTGGGTTCATTCGTTGTGTATCCAGAATGGGGTGTCGTTTCTAGAGTTACAGGAGACTAAATGACAAAAATTGATTTGTTCAAAGTCAGGAGTATATGGGGTAATCCTTGTTTTGATTTTGCGTGTAGTTGTGCTCGGGGTCTCTTAAGGGGTATTCTTTCTCTTTGGGACCCTAATGTGTTTGCGAAAAGCAGTGTTCATTGTACGAATAATGTGGTTATAGTTGGAGGAGTTTGGGTTCCTTTTAGTTTTCCTTGTTACATGGTTAATATTTATGCTCTTCTAGGAGTCCGGGAGAAATTTTGACCTGTGGTGTAACGCCTCATTTATGGTATTTGATTTAAATAAAGTAATTTCATTTGAGGGGTACTCGACAAGTTTGTAGCCCGAATCGTCGAGTAGAGACAGGATGATCACGCAAATTGACACTACTAGAAAACAACCCTTTAATGACGCGTAAACAATGACACGCGGTGATTTACGATACGCAAAAGCGTGTGCCCTAAAAATAATGTTATCTCTTCTAAAATTTGAAGGATAATGGACACGCTTTTATGCGTGCCCTAAAATTAATGTCGAACAAAAAAAAATAAAAACACAGAGGGCACTTATTTAAAAATAGGTGTCGTCTAGAAATGTCGCTTTATATTTTTTTAATGAAAGGCGCGTTCTCTTCTTTTGCAGCTGGGGGAACGAAAATCCGAAAAGTTTGAAAGGCCGCCATTGTTACCCTCTGCCTTATTTCCATCGTTCTTCTCTCTCTCTATCTCTCTCTCTGTCTCTCTCTCTCTCTCTCTCTCTCACTCTAATACCCAAAAAACCCTAATAACATCACCAATCCTCTTTTTTCCCACAACAGAATCACAATATGATCCCGTCTTTTGAACAGATCAAACCCACAGGGGTTCTCGACGAAAGAGATACCGCTTCATACGAGCCCTAATTTCTCATCTGAATTCGTTAACTTCTTCAAATGGTTCTCAAAACTTTTTTCTCTCTCTACATTTTCTTCTCCTTCATTTCTCGATCCACAGAAGGTCAGGAGAACGCTGCGTCTGCAATCAGATTGCTAGGTCGTAATCCTGAGAGCGTTGAACGCCGGTGTATGCTCGGTGTTTAAGGTCCCATGAAAGAGTAAGCAGTTGTCGCCTAGGCTATATTGTTCGATTAACACAATTCATCAAACCCTAGAATCGTAAAGGAAACCTAGCCCCCATAGCTTTCTTCACACTTCACCTCCTCAAATCTCACCTCACGCTCTTATAGTTCTCTATTTTTTGTGACTCGTTTCAAGGAGGTTCTTTTTCATTTCTCTTCAATGTTCGATATGTTTGATGCTACTTTAGATCATCAAGATAAGGACAAGTTGAATATCGAGAGGTAGTTTTATGGGCGTGAAGCTCTAAATGTGATTGCGTGTGAAGGAATGGAATTGAGCATTCCTCCCCCTAGGCTAATTCCCCTAGCCATGGCCTTCTTCACTCCAAACCAGGTATGAACATATATTTATGTGTATATATGTAAGTTAATTCATCGATGGTTGATTAGGTGTGTTTATGTTTTCAGTTGATACATATTAATGCTTATTTGATCAAGGAAGTGGCAGGAACTTACAAAATGGTTCCTGTGTTAACCATGTTTAGTCAAAAATTGAATTCTTTTACAGTTTCAGTCCTTGGAACCTTGAAATAAATACTAAAATTGAAATGAAACCTTGAAATTAGGACCATAACTGAAAAATGCACCAACTTTGGACCAAACATGATAAACATCAGAAAGCACATAGACCATTTTTGTAATGTACTCTAATTTTAGGTTGCAAGGGCATTTCAGGCAGCGCCTAAACTTCTATGTTTGAAGATAAAGTTTCACTTCTACGTTATGCTTTGCAAAGGGCTATTCAGGCAGCACCTAACCGGCTTATGACTAACAATGCCTACCTGGCTTTATTGGGCGCCTCGGTATGACTTCATATTCAGTATTGTATATATGATTTTTTTTCCCGTTTTAAGAAACTAAAAAATAGTATCTTTTTGTACCAGTTAAATGCATCCACAATAGATGAGGGACTAAACTTCTATGACTCACAACATCGCTTTGAACACTCATAACTTCTGTTGGTTCTTTTGAGTTCACTTCCACATGCGCCAAAGACTTTTCAGTGTCTCGTATTACAGGTACTGTTGTTTCCATTTCTACCCTTGTCCCTAGAAAATGTTTTTTTGTATATTTACTTCTCCATTTGATTTCAGGATCTTTTGATTTTGGCTTGCAGTCATGCTGTTTCCATTTATACCCTTGTCCCTGGGGAGTATCCTTATATTCTTATACTCATTTCTCATCTTCTATATATAATTTTATTAGCTTTTCTATCTTTCTGCAGTTATATTTAGTCGATTGGATCCAGGAGAAAAACTTGTTATAGGTTGTCGAAAAGCAACAATTTCTGCTGAAACACAGGTATAATTCTTTTAACACACACATACATACATACATTTATGCATGTATTATGTTAATGAGTGAATCTCTATGAAAAAAACAAGCAGAAAGGTGAAACAGAAGCTGTCAATGGTGTAATATTTTAAGGTGAGCTCTGATCTTATTAATACAACTCAACAAAGATATGAATTCAAATAAAATTAAAATTAAAATTAAAATTGATTTTATAGGATGCAAAGTCGGATCGATTGAAGCAACTATTGAAAGAGACCGAGAAGTATCTCCAGAAGTTTGGATCAGCAGAGCCTTTGAAGCAGATAATGGTCTAAATGATAATAGTGAATTTACTATTGAGAATGAAGATGAAACAGATCAGGCCAAGGTATGTTCTATCTTTTGTTACTTTACACTCTTATAACCTTTGTTTGACTTTTAATATCTTATTAATAAATATTTTGGCTTCTACAACATTACATGGAGAGCAATGAAAAGTACTATTTGATGTTTCATAGGTACTTCATTAACTTTTTTATTTCCTTGTATGTTATTGCTCTTGGCTTTAATCAGTTGTTTTATTTTTTCAAACTCATCATCGGTTCAATGTTGTAGTGTCAAAGAACTTCTAGCAGATGAAATGTGCTTGGGGAAAACTGTTAAGGTAGTATGAGGTATAGGTGGGCAAAACAATTAGTCCAAACTGATCCTAAAAATATGTATATGAACTAAATTGGTCATGGACCAGTCTTGGACTGTTCAGTCCGGACAGAAGTCCTGCTCTGTCCTTCAAAATGTTACACATGGCAGTCCAAAACCGATCCTAAACAGGTCCAAAATTAAACTGGTCCAAAAACAAACCGGTCTCTTTTAGAGCGAATCCAAACCAGTCTCTTTTAGATCAAATCTAAATTGTGAAGGAGGTTTGTTCTATGCCTCTATTCAACCCCAAAATCTATTCTTTTCATGATAAACAAACCCCATTTCTTTTAAAGGTAAGTTTTCAAAGATCAAGGGTGTAGGAGTCTTTGGTAATGATGCACAGGATACAAATATTCCAGTAGAAGTGTGGAGATACTATTTGGTAACTAATAGACCAAAGGTGTAACTTTTATTCAGTATATAAATTAAAAATGTGATCTCTCACTTTTTTTCTTGTTTCCTTCTCTTTCATTGATTATTGGGTTTACTTGTGTAGGTATCAGACATATTATTCACATGGACGGATCTTCAAGCAAAACTCAACACTGAGTTGCTGAATAATTTAGGCAATTTCATTAACCGTGTCTTGAGCTTTATTTCTAAAGATCTAGGTTAGTAATTGCCACCAATTTAACCTAAATTAATGGGATTAAGATTTTAAGGGTGCAATTTACATTAGTTTCTACTTTCATGCCCTAAACCCTAAACCCTAAATGCTAGGTTCTTTTCTTGCACTACTATCTTATCTTTTTTACTTGAAAGTGGTATGAAGTGAATATTTGGATATGATGTTGAAGATTGATTATTGGTGATTTTTTGATTAAATCTGAAAAGTTTTGTTTCTGTTGACAGATTCAAGAGGTGGTAGAGGTTCAGGATAAAATTCCATCATTCTGGATGCTCCATCTGTTATCAAACACACTAGGAGATAAAATTGGTGCTTATGTGGAACAATATGTGGAGACACAGCTATAGCAGGTCAAGTTGCTGCACTTGTCCTTTGCCACACCAGAGAACTAGCTTATCATGTCATATTTTCATTTGTAACCCTCCAACAATTTGAAAATGTTAATTTTCACCCATGTCTTACTCTTTGTATCTTGGGTGAGATTTGTTGCAGAGAACTAGCTTATCAGGTAACTAGCTTTCTTATTTCTATAAATTATACAAGATTGTATCTCATGCAAAATATTTATAATGTCTCTATTTTTTATTGCTGAACAAAGGAAGGATACCCTTCAATATGATGTCCTTGTTCAAATAATTGAGATTTATAACGAGCAAGTTCGGGATACCCTTCAATATGATATTCTTTTCATTTAATAAATTTTCTCATCTCATTAAATGAAATCCTTGCACCGAATCTTCTTGGTTGGTTTCCGGTTGATCAAAATAATTTTTCATTTTTCATACTGCTGATTTTGATCCTAGTCAAGACTCTTGGGTAATGAGTTTCATTAGAGTTTTTTACAAATTTTCTTTTCATGCATATGCCTCCAACAAAGCCACTTAGTGAAATGATGCCATTCTAGTACGTGTAAATCTTGAAGAAGCTAAGTGTTACTTTTTCTCTTTGAGGGAATAATAATATTCATTGATATTATGATATATGATGTTGCCTTCTCAGGAACTGAAGTCAATGTAAGTCAAAACATGAGAAATATATAAGATCTACAGGAAAAAATTACTGATAGATGTGTCTGGATGGCTTCATCAATACATAAGGGTAAAGAAGAAGGTGATGTGATGATTAACTGATTACTAAAACTTTTAACATTCTTTTAACAGAAGTGCTAATACATTTTGGGTGTTATTTGGTGAATCTTTGTTAGGCATGTGCTATATCAACTGATGAAAAATATGTTAATTTATATCTCCATCATTATACAGGTAAGATTGGTGAAAAACAAGGACAACAATGAAGTCAAGGGTTTTTGTATTAATTTGTAGCAATCAGGCATCCATGGAATCAATTCATGACTCTCTTGCTGAGGCATTGGTTAATTTGATAAAGGAGGTAGAGTTTCCTTTCTTTTCATCATGTTATACATTTTGGATGATAAATGTCTGTATTACCCTTTGATCTAATATGTTTTTTTTTGGTGCAGTGTGAAAAATTATGGTCAAAAGTGTATGTTGTCTGGCCTAAAAGCAGAACTAGAAGCATTAAGACGAAGGCACTCTAATGTACTGGAGTTGATGGGTGAAAGAGATGAGGAGGTAAAATTACCTTTTCAATGTGAGTTGCTGCATCTTTAGCCTTACTTACAGTTTTGACTTCTGACTTCACTTATATACCTCTATGTGGTGTTTATAGAGAATTATCCATATGCTCACACAAATTTTTGTAGCTGATTACACATTAATTTAATTATGCAGGTTTTGAAGTTTTTGATGGAAAAAAATAGTGTTAATGCTCTTCATAGAAAAGTATGTTGGTATTTTAGGAAATTTGGCTAATAATTTAGTTAATTATATAAAAAATGTTGAAATGTTACATTTGTCTACTATTGGAATGATTATTTGTATTACATTAACTTTTGTGCAATGTATTGTATTTTTTGTATATGATATGTTATTCTCTATTATGAGACATAAAATACAAATTTAATTTGAAAATCAGTAAATCTATAATTAATTTTTTTTAAAAAAAATTTAAATTACGATACGCAAAAATGTGTGTCGTGTTCATTTATGACATGGCCTTTCTTGACACGGGCTTCCTTGATACGCATTATGTATCATAAACACGCGCGTCGTAAGGTTACGGCATGCAAATGCGTGTCATCTTCCTTTATGACAGGGCCTTCCTTGATACGCATTGCGTGTCATAACCGCGCGTCGTAAATGCGCATCGTCTATAGACGACGCGCAAAAGCTCGTCGTCTCTCTTTATGACATGGCCTTCCTTGACGCGCATTTGCGCGTCGTCTGAGCGTTTTACGACGCACAATGAGCGTCGTAAAAGGCTTTTTTTCTAGTAGTGTGAGTTGGCTACTCGATGAGTCCATACGTTGGGACTCGGCGAGTCTGCCTGTCTGGATGAAGCCCCAATTTTAAGGGTTTACACCCCCATTTAAACACACTTATGCACCCCCAACCTCGCCTCTATCACTCTCAGAACATTTCCCATGTAAACCCTAGCCCCATTGTTGAGTTTGAGTGTATTTGTGCTAGCTTGGAAGCCTTGGGAAGAGAAAGAAGGAAAGAAGGTCCATAGAAGAGAAGGGAGATCCAGGAGTTAGCTTCCATCTGTTTCTCATTTAGGTAATGAAGATTTGACCTTGTGCATTCCTCCATCAAAATGCTTGTTATGCCTTCTTTGTAGCCTCTTATGATTTAAACTTGAGATATGGACTCCCCTTTGTATGGAAACTTTAGATCCGGACCTTCATTGTATTCTAGAAGTGTAAAGTTTCAATCAAAATCGTGATTGAGATCCCTCTTGAGCTTAGAACCCCATTAATAGCTTAGTTTTGTTGTTTGAAGCCTTTAAAGCCATGCATGCACGTAAAGTTTGCAACTTTACGTGATAAGCATGCCCTAGAAGCTTGGATCTGTGATTTGGAGCCGCTGCATGGCTCAAATCAGGTCTGTATGGAAAAGGGACTGAATGGTCTCGGCGAGTCGCAAGCTTGACTCGGCGGGTCATATGAAGATATCTGTGGACTCGACGAGTTGGATGAGCAACTTGACGAGTCCAATGAAGATTGCCTTAGACTCGACGAGTTGCTTGAACAACTCGGCGAGTCGGATGAGTTTTCCTGAGTAAAGTAGTGTTTGAGTGAAATAGCTTCATTCCTTCTTAGTTACACGTAATGTTAGCAACTTTATGTGTTTAGATGGTTCCAGGGGCTCATATCTATGAGTTAGATGCTCTGGAATGGATTAGAATTTGATTGCATGGAATCTGCACAACAGAACTCGACGAGTTGTTCTTTGGACTCGACGAGTAGAGTCGTGAGTCCCCATCTTTCTTTGGTTTGTGAGTTTAGGGTGAATTAGTGAGTGGGAAAGAGGACTCGGTGAGTTAAAGTCAGAGTTAGTGATGAAGGGACTCGACGAGTCTGCGCCCTGACTCGGTGAGTTCGGTCAACTGGAAGTTGACTTTGACTAGGGAGTTGACTTTGACTAGGGGTAAAATAGTCATTTTACCCTGAGAGCATTTATCAGTAACTGATCTAGTGTTTTGGAATTTGTAGCCGGATAGTTTCGGAGCAACAGTCGGCCACTTTTAGAGTTAGCATCTCAGCAGCCAACACTACAAGGTGAGTGTTCCTTCCCGTAGGAACGGGTCTACGGCCATAATGTCAACCCGTCTAGTTAGCAGTAGTTCCGTACTTTGGTATGATGCAGTAGTTCAGTGTGCTTGATGTCTTTGTGATTCAAGCATGTCTTTGTATTATGTGTTCCGGACTTCGGTCCGATGCAGTATGTAGTATATGTGTTTATGCTAGTTGATATGTTTATGCTACGTTATGTTATGCTCAGTCAGTTTCCGGACTTCGATCCGATGCAAGGGACAAGGTCCCAATCAGTTCCGGATTTTAGTCCGATGCAGTTAGTTCCGGACTTCGGTCCGATGCAGGGGACAAGGTCCCAGTTAGTTCCGGACTTCGGTCTGATGCAGAGGGCAAGGCCCTGGTTAGTTTCCGAACTTCAGTCCGATGCAGTTTCCGGACTTCAGTCCGATGCAGTGGGCAAGGCCCAGTATGTGCTTTATATGTTATTGTATGGTATGTGGTAGTTTGGGGAAGCTCACTAAGCTTTGTGCTTACAATTTCAGTTTTGGTTTCAGGTATTTCCGCAAGCAAAGGGAAGAGCTCGGATGATGGCATTGCACACACCATAGCTTCAGCTTTTGTCCTGAGAGTTTATTTCAGATACAATGTTATGTTGTTACAGTTCTTTTGTTATGAAACATCTATTATAAGTTTTTGGGATTTATGACGTACGATTTCATGATATATTATAAATCGTTGATAACCTTAGTATTATTTAAACACAAATTTTTGGGTTGTTACATGTGGCAATATCTTAAAGATTTTAAAAGTAGGAACGGGGGGAATTACGTGTTTTTTTTTTTGGAGACTTTAATGTTGTTAAGGAGGTGACTGAACGAATGGGTTCGTTTTTTGTCCTATTACAGCTTCTGCTTTTAATGATTTTATTGATGATATGGGTCTCATAGATGTGCCTATGATTGGGAAGCGGTTCACTAGAATCGACCCTATTGGTTCAAAATTAAGTAAGTTGGATAGGTTTCTGGTGGATGAAGCTTTTTATTATAGATTTGACCTCCTTCAAGTTTCGGTTCTTGATAGAAGGTGGTCTGATCACTGCCCTATTTTCTTGCATGTGTCTCTGGTGGATTATAATAATTCATCATTTAAATTCTTCAACTCTTGGTTAGAGCTTGATGGGTTTAATGATATAGTGAAAGATGCTGTCAAGGAGTTCGTGGTTGACAGGTCTTGGAGTAAGTTTGTTGTGTTCAAAAATAAACTTAAATTCTTGAAAGACTGTGACAACCCGATATTTCGAATAGATGTAATGACCTAAAAAGTCAAGATTGTAACCTTTTTTGATATATAATGAAATTATTGTCAAAAATAAAATGTTCGAAAGTCGTCTACTGGATTTCATAAATGATAGATATCGTGTCCAGGGTTTCAAAAATATAAAAATCACTAAGTTATAACGAAGAAGTTATGACTAAGCAAAGATTCACAACAAAAACCATCAATACAGTTAAACGTAAAACGAGAAATTTCAATAAAATACTTATTAGCCTTAGGTATCTAAATAAAAGTCGTAGATATCATTAAACCGTGAACACACATAAAAAGAACGCCCAAATCTGACTTCGTATGAGGAAGTTATGATTTTTCAAAGTTTCGGGATAGCAGTAGACAACTAAAAACTTGAAATAGAGATCGAGCGATTTTTAGCCAAAACAACCTAAACAAGAATCGAAGATCTCATCAATAGCAGTACAACGGTCTGTTAAAAATAATATATTAAAAATAAAGTCAAATTTAGCAGACGATGTCTAAATGAAAGTTGTAGAGTACATTCTCACCTACACGTGCATATAAAAAATGTCAAAGATGGAGCTCGTATGCGAAAGTTACGGATTTTACAAGTTCGAGGTGCACAAACAGAGACGAGTTACGCTCAACATACCCTCGTACGCCCAGCGTACTCGGGTGCTAGGCTTCTGATCGTACACGTCGCCCCTTTACGCCTCTATGCCCCGTCCCATCCGAAGTACGGAAGACGAGGATGCAGTCATGCATGACATCCGACATGCCCTGCGTAACCCGGAGTTACGCCCCGCGTACCGAGGGTTTCCAACCCCTATAAAAGGGAGGCGAGGGTTCCAGGCATAATTGCTCATTTTCTCTCATTCTCTTGCGTTTTTACCCCGTTTTGCGTGCAAGAAATATCTCGAAGCCCCGGTCTTCGCATCCAATTCCCGAAGGAAGGTTTTACACTCCTGAGATTCTTGAGAATCCTGAGAAATCCGTTTTCTCCTGTCGAAGTTCTGCTCGGTTTTCATCTCACCATCTTCACTCTATCAAGTGAGTTCATACCTCTACAAACACACTTTAAATACATTTTAATTGCTTTTTAAATACTTTTAGGGTGGGGGGATACAAGTAAACACCCGGTTATTATCGTGTGAAAATATCTATCCTTTTCTATGCATTTCATACTATTATTTTAAATGTCATATGAAAATGTTCGCATGCAACAAATATTACGATAACACCTTGTCTTTTGTAATGAAACACGTTGTTATATAAATATCAAACACTTTATTTATATTTTGAGTATAAATGTTCAATAATGTTATTACAAATGTTATACTTTACATACAAAGTCAACACTACACTAGGGTTTATTATACAAACGAAACACACTTTTGGAAAAACTATTATAGGTATAGTTTACAAGGAAATCATAAGATTTTTACATACTATAAGTACTATATCAAGGAAATACTTTCATATACAAGAACGAATGGACTTTTCATACGTAAATCTATTTGATACTAAGTTTTGTGAGACATTCAACTTCACGTACTTTTAAGTATGCAGTTAAAGTCCTGTTTTATATACCATACTCTCTTGTAGGGAGAGTGCGATACTTCTGTATAGATCTATACGGGATTGACAATCCCGCACTAAAACTGTTAGCTACAGTTAGACCGTCAGGTCTGGGGTGACAAACATCATAACATTCCAACGCCTGAAGAACATTGTTACAGGCAGTCTAGGTCAATAGCATGGTTATAAAACTCACATGGAGTATTAAAAATACAATGATTTACGGGGTTATAAAATGTCTTAGTGATTTTATACATACGTAAATATATTATTCTAGGCATGACAACTACTAATGCATTACAGTTTTGGAACTTTTAAACTACCACACACTCATGGAAAAATATTGGACTTTTCAGAAGTAAACTCAGTGATTTTATACCAAACTTACAAATTTTATACCTAAATGCTTATGAACTCACCAACTTAGTTGTTGACACTCTTTCAAAACTACTTGTATTTCTTAGGGATTC